TATATATATAGTTTCATGAAATAGTTATTTGACTTTTTATATTAATTTTTTCAGTTCTCACTTTCTAAAGGCACATTTACATCAAAGAAACTCTGTCCTCCTTACAAGCAACATAAATGTGCTTTTGATCATGAAGAGCAATACAACTTTGTGCTGTTCTCAGTCCTGTTATGTAGATATGATTTAATCTCTTTATATCAAGGAATTGTTTGCACGTACTATTTTCCCTCGTGCAAGAAACTTAAACAGTGACCTCTGACCAATCATCCTTTGTCTGCAGAAGAGAGGTGATGTGGCATCATTAAATAGACCAGGTAATTGCTGCTATATTGGTGTGTATTCAGGCTGGTGACTTTCAGGAATCATTGTAAATAAACAATTGGTTCAATGCTATCAATACTGCAATTTAATTCAAGTTCTGCTCAGATATGCTCTGCCCCTGCCCCCTTCAGATTTAAAACAATTATCTTAAAATTACCTGTCTAAATTACATTGAGCTTTATGGTTTTTTAACTGAACCTAAATTGCATTAGGCATCTCTTGGTTTAGACTGCCATCCTGAAATTTGATAGTGAACATTTATATGTACTTGAAAACCGGGGGGGCTTCCTGGCAGTGGAATCCTGGGGGCAGTTGGAAGTACAGCCCCAAGGGCTGGGGTTTGTGAGAACAGGCTTAGGTCTAAATGCAGCTCTGCTCCATGGCTGCAGTTCACTTGGAAGCAGGAGGAGACAGATGGTGTTGCAGGTGCTTTGCACGGAATTGTTCTGTCAGTTCAAATGCAAACTCAAGGGAGGATGCTCAGTCTGTCACAGCAGAGCCCTCAGAGCAGTGCTAAGCCAAGCATGCTTGTGACTGGAGCAGGCTCAGGGAGCCTGAACTCGAGGAGCTCCTGTGGCATTTACACACTGGCCCAGGGTTACATTTTTGTTCAGTCTCTAGGTGAACACTGGGGGCATGGTGCAGTTTCTGAAACCTGGCTATGCAATGGAGAAGGACTATGCTAATGAAACCCAAACCAGTTTTAGCTCTATTGCTGATGAGTGGAAGTCAGCTACTATGATGGGAAAGGCAGACAGGAAAATACTGCAAAAGCCAAGAATCTGACAGAACATTTGAAATTGGAGAAATGTTGCATTTCAGATCTGTTCCCCCAATCTGTCCTTTCTAGCTGGCTTCCTTGTGCCAAGCAAGGAGCTGAACTCTCCTGAAAGCTCAGTAAGAGGAGAATACAGTTCATGGAGAGTCCCACCACCAAAACAGCAGCTCTTAGTTGTGTGAACAGAAAATGCAGTTGTCTGAAAACACACAAGAACTCCAGCTGCAAGTCCTATAATGCCCCCAAAGGACACGGGAGGGGCTGGAGTGGAGCTCAGAACACCCTCGGGCACAGGGAGTGCACAGCAGGGCCTTGCCCTGGGCTCCTGCTGGCTGGTCACAGGCCAGGGTAGGGACAAATCACAGTCACACTTTTGGTACAGGGCTGGTCTTCAGAGCTTTGTCACAGCATCTTAAACCAGGAAAGGGAGAAATTGGCTTAATCTAAAACTGCAGAAATTGTTCAGCATAGTTAATGGGTTTTGAATATGTGCACAGCTTAAGACTATAAAGTTAGTATTTGATATAGTGACACAGTTAAAGGATGTTGTCTTTTTAAGTTGAATAGTAAACAGAACTTGTCATTGCTTTTTTAGATAGTTTGTCACATTCCCTTCCTTACAGGCAGAGCCTTTCTTCTAATCAACAAGAATAGGTTGCTGATACTTACACCAGCAGAAAATGGGGCAGGTAAAGCATTGTACCACATTCCTGCCCTTCCTGCTGCTCACGGGGAGCAGCACAGATGCCACCTCTAGCTGTGTTTTCTCTGCATGCTGCTTGGACTGAGTTGCTTTAGAATTTACCTTTGAGAATGCCAAGCTTAAAATACACAACTATCTCTGGGCCAGCAACAGTTTTAACTTACAGCAGTCAGGTGTATGCAGTGTTCTTGCAAAACAGTGATGTAAATGTGCCTTTCTGTATTTTTAGAAATTTAAATTTATAATCTTCAGCAACATTCACTTACTTCAGTCAGCTTCTTTTTGTCAGCAATTGTTTGGGTCAGAGTTATGTTCTCACTTGAGCATTTTCTTTCAGTCCCATTTGCTCCTGGCAGTGGTGTCTCCAGCAGGGCCATGTGGGGCCGGCCTGGGAACACGATGCAATCACAGCAGGCTGGCCTTGCAGCAGGTGCTGCTCAGGACTCAGCCATATGCTTTGCTGGAACAAGTACATTGTAAATCCTTTCCTAATTTAACTTTCCTTTCTCCCACTGCAAACCCAGATGGACAGTATGAACAGTTTGTTGTGGCAACACAAGTATTTCTCTTCCTGGTGGAGAACTTTGCTTATCCACTGTATTCTATTCAGTGTGGTGTCAAAAAAAAAAAAAAAAAAGTAACTGAGCACTGAACCAGTAACATATACTGCACCTGGCCTAGTATTACCTTTTTAACCTAGCTTGTATATCCTATATTTATCTACTAGCTTGTGGGGGGGAATATCTCTTTCATTTAAGCCAAATGTTTCTTTTCTACTTACTGCTCATCATAGTACACACTAGCTGGCAAGAATTTTTTTTCTTGCTTGAGACTGCTCTGCAAGCAGCAACTGCTCTCTACAGTTCAAAGACTTGCATCTTTTTCACCAAAATGTGTCCAATCAAAGGTTGTCCTTTTGTTAGTGATTGTTTAGCCACGTATACAACTGGAGCCAAGATTTATGTCAATCAAAACTGCAAAATGTCCAGCTCCTTAATTTCAGCAAGAGAGGAGAGTTTAAAAGTTTGAGAGAGGCAGGGACAGTGGACTTGTATCAAAAGCAGGAGGCCATTTATGAAGATTTTACTAAATCAATGGGAAGTGTAACACGTGGTGTTGAGGAGTTCCCCCAGCAGTGTTTCATTACTGATGTGTCTGTGTCTTACTGATGAGGTGATGGGCACCCTGACAGCTGATTCCAACGTGCTTTAGGATATTCTCAAGTACTGTAGTGCCATAGTTGTAATTGTTTACCATTAAAATCTTGTGTGTAATTTTCAGTGAGGATTACTGACTGTGCTCATCTTGTGTGTTTCTGGAGCGTTTCCAGGATGAATGTGAATTATATTTCATCACACAGTATGTTTATGGAAAATGTGCCATTAAAGTGTCTCCTTTCCTTAGAAAATGAAACTTCTCTTGTCCTTCTACAGGCTTGCAGAACATTGGTGTCAGTCCTCTGAACACAAATGGCAGAGTACTGTACCTCGTTCTGGGAAAAAAAAAATGAAGCAGTTGCAGTGCTCCTAACTGTGTAACACCTCTACCAAACTTAGCACCTAACCCCAAAGAGGACCTGCCACTCCTTTTTAAATGCCTTGTCACCCAACTGCTGTTAATTTTTGTCAGATTGTGGTGTGTCCCCTCTGTCCAGTAAGAGTCCAGCCTGATATCCTTGTCATTCAACATTGCCAGATTGTTGATTTGTTATTAATTTGGGGTTTTTTAAAATTAATATTTAAAAATAGTATTCCTGTATGTATAACTCTTGAGAAGTCTCAACTGTTTAAACCTGCTTAAAAACAAAGGTAAGTTCTTGAGAGTTGTAAATGCTAATATGAGAATGAGGAACAACACCTGCAGGCACACCTTTTAAGCTGCTGTTTGCCACTGACTGCATTACCTGGTGTGTGAAATCTTGTCTCTTTTGAGGCACTGACCAGAGCTCCTTCTGAAGGGGGAGGGGGAACAGCCATCTCCTTATTTTAAAGAAAAAATTAAATGACAAGGGATATAAAACCAAAAAGACCAGCAATTGTTAAACACAGCTTATGTAGTAGAAAGTTACTAAGTAAAGAATGCAGCAGGGTATGGTATCTGTGTTCACACACACAATACTCAAGTGTTTCCTCAAGCCAGGATTGTTGCAGACTACAAACAAATCTCAGATCTTGTTTGTCAGAGTTGAATTTTAAACTGCATTCTCAGGGTAAGAATGGAGAGTCAAAATTGGGTCACACTCAACCTTTTCCTGCATTAAAACACTCCTAATTAAAATGCCACAGGTACATAATGTTTTCCCAGCTACTATTGAAAAAGTCCCCCAGTCCTGTGTGCTGTAACTTTTTAATGGATTGTTTGAATGTATTTATTCTCTTGTAACACCAGGCAGAAGGTGACTGTAAAATACCTTCATCTAAAGCATTTTGATTCACAAGCAGGAAAGTTAAAGGGATTCTTACTGATTATAATTCCAACCTGCCCTTGCTGCAGCTTTATTTTTCTTCTAGAAACAACTTTCTGCTACACTTTCTCCAATTACTGTACAACAGGTATTTATATCTGGAAAATCACTTTCATATCTCCTTTTTCCACCAAAGGGTAGAAAAAAGGTTTCTATGGTAACAGAACGGAACCTACAAAACCAGAACAGCCAAACTTGTAAAACCTGAGCCAATAGAAGACATCTATTAAAAGCACAAGCCCACAAGGAACTAAATATAGGCTTGCTGTTCCCATGCGTGGCTGCCTCTGTGTCATTGCTTCCCTCCTGCAGAAGGTGGGGACACAGCCAGCTTTGTTTATAGAATCACAGCTCAGCCTCAAATAACTGTGGGCAGGAAACTGCCCCTACCTCTGAGGCTTGTGAACTGAACTGCACACCGTGTGTGTGCTTCAAGGCACCCAGAGAATGGTTCAGCTCCTTCTGAAAAACTGCCTATGAAGGTTCTGTTATCCATCTAACAGTCCTTGAACAGGAACCAAACGTGCAACCTCAGAAAAATCAGTGAACAGAAGTGTTGCACACGGCAAAACCAAAGTGCTGCTCAGAAAGCCAAATCTCCTGACTGGGAAACACTGACAGAGATCTGCCTGGCAGCTGTAGGCTACAGCCCCACCCCACTCCAGTAACTCAGCACAAGAGCTTTGCTAAACTTCAGGACAGTCTATAAGGGGAAAAAAAATCATCCCTTTTAAGGAAGCATTTCATGACAGTCAAGCTGTACATGCCCATTCCATTCCCTTGGACAAAGGAAGCACAAGCTGCATACATGGTTCTTTTCCTTTCCCTGTTCTGAGCTTCTGCACCAGTTGTTAGCCAAAAATAAACCCCATTCCACAACCATATATGTGCAACAGCCTCCTGGTGAGTGCAAGCCCCCTCCAGCACTGCTGTTACTCCACGAGGCCAAGAGACTCTCAGTGCTGCTGGGCAATGCACATAACCCAGCTCAACCGGGAATGCCTTCTGCATCTCTTCTCTTTTCTGGACAAAGACAGTAGGAAAAATCTAGCAAAAACATGTCACAGGTTGCTAGAAGTATTTCAGGATCCTTTACTGTGGTCGTTGTTGAAGTTTCATTCGCCAGTGGAACTAAAGAAGGATAATTTTCTCCTGGGACCTGCTTTAAAACACTTATCCATCTGCTGGTATTCAGAGAGAGTCAAGGTGTGTAACATTGAGGACTGGATGAAAAACAGTTTCCAGAAAGACTTCTGTAAGAGGCATGAGAACACTGTCAGTGATTTTTTACTAGACGTTTGCAACAGGTACGTTCTGTGGGTGTGAGTGTGCAGTAACTGCCTTGAGTGAAGTGAGAGTTATTTCAAATACTCCATAGTTTCCTGCCTGAAATGGAGCATGAAATATGTGACTGCTTTGCCTTTACTTCTTTGCTGTAATAGAAGTTAATTTTACAGTTACACTTCATATAGATTTTCCTTAAGCCTAGTTTTTTACTTCTTTTATTCTAAGAATTAGTTATTAACATGGGAAAATGCACTCCTGCATCCCACACTGCTGCTCAGCTCAACTGCACCATTCTGGCAGTGCCTGGGGGGTGCCTGGAGCAGAGTCCTGATTTCAAACAGTGAACACACCTCATTAAAACCAAGTTCAATTAACATGTTACTAAGTGCCAGCTTTAGTTCAGTGTAAGAAATAAATATTGCTATTATACTGAAGTTTAAACTCCCAGCTGTTTCTAAACTACGGTGAGGGAAGATAAATGCTACCATGAAAAAGGAGTTCTGGGTGCAGAGCAGTGACAGGAGGCAGCTCATGGGGCAGAGCCAGTCCTGTGTGTGGGTAACTCCAGGGCTGGCTCAGTCCCAAAGCAGGGCCAAGGGGCCATGGCAGTGCCTCCGTGACACCTGTGCCACAGCCAGCCCTCACCTTTGAACAACTACTGAAAAATCCAACAAATTATGGGATAGTGACAGGACAGAGTGTCTTGGTGAGAGCCAGCAGCAGGACTGAAAGGCAGCTTCAAAACAAGGATTAAATTGCGAGTGCCAGATTTCTGAAGTAAATGTTCTAGAACAACTGATAAAAATCTGGACTAATTAAGGAGGAATCAGCACACCTGTTCCTAGAAGGGATAATACTGCCCCTTGTTCCTGCAACCCACTGAAAGCATTTCTAGTCAAAATTCCTAGCATTGTGTACAAAGAAAAATGCAAATTAACTCCCTGAGTTTGAACTAATTTTATTCTATTAGAGCCTTTCTTGATTGCTGCCAGCTTTTTCCTCCAACTGCTCATAACAGAAAAGAGTTAAAAGAAAAAATATTCTGTCTGGAGGTCTCACGAGAGCAACATTAACACAGAGCTGTGTGTGATGCTCTGTTTAGCTGAACAGGTGGATGCTGAAAGGGGCTGAGTCAGGAGCCAGACACAGCACAGGTTTGCAGGCTGCTGCACAGGACCCAGCACAGCATCAACACCCCACTGGGGCAGGCCTTTCCTGTACTTCCCCAGGCCTACTCAAGCAGCAAGAAAAAGTTTTTTTCATTTGCTGCACCATTGTTTGTAACAATAGAGTTACCAGTTTCAGTGACTCAAAGGAAAGTTTAAGAGCTGTGTGGGGTTTGAACATCAACACTGTTTAGGAAGCAGCTGGCACCTATTCAGTAAATCCAAGGAGATAAAATCCATCCTGCAATTCCTGAAAACAAAGAGTAGGAGTGCCTTACTTGCTTATGCTCAGCATGTCTGCACAGCAGTCTCTTCTCTCTACTGTCCTCCACTTCATCCTGAAATGAATCTCCTCTCTACTGGGTCTCCACTGTCTGTGCCTGGAGAAGCACAGCATCACCCAACTCCTTAAGAAAAAATGGTGCAGCTGCAGCTTAAATAGGCCTCCACATGGCCCTGTGCCAGCTGAGCTGGAGATGCTGCTACCAACACAAACAGCAAAGGAGTTAAGCTTTGCCTTTAGTTAAGCTGAACATTAGGATCTACATGTTTGCTCACCTACTTGTGCCTCCTTGCTCCTCCTGATGAAGAGGAGGCATTTTTCCAGCCTTCAGATTTATTCTTGATGCTCACTGCTTCTGCAAGCTCTATGATTTATTTCTGTCATCTCACCTGTCACCATCCTGCTTTCAGATGTCCAAATCTGCTGTCTGTGACCCTCTCTGGATGTGGCCATGTTACAGACGACTGCATTTCGCAGCTTCTCAAGAACTGCCCAAACCTGAGGAGCCTCAAACTGGAGAACTGTGTGCGGATCAGTGACCACACGCTGGAGGCAGTGACGCTCCACGGGGCGGCGCTGCGAACGCTCCACGTGGATTTCTGCCGCAATGTCACCCAGGCCGGGCTGGAGACAGTCAGGGCAAAGTGTCCCTCAGTAACGCTGAGGGCAGACAGAAGTGCTAACATGATCCCGGACAGTAAGCCAGAAAAAAAGATGATGCTTGAAAAAGCATCAAGAAAATTGGTTCAGCCTTAAATGCAGCAAAATAATGAGTGTGGGTATTTTACATCACTGAGGTAGCAATGAACTGTGGCTGCTTCCGTGGGTTCTGGTCAAATGCAAACAAACGGTTGTTTTGTAAAGGGTGTACTGGGAAAAGGCACACATCTCCTCCTGGACAAGCTTCAGGAAAAAAACATTTGCTCTCTGTTGTTCCTTGAAACTGGAAAACCCTGCATTGCTGTCACAAAATGCCAGACTTGCTGAAAACTGCAATTCTGGTACCTCCTGCTGCAGATGCACCTCACTCAGAAGAGGGAAGCAGTGCTGTGTTTACTGAGGTCAAATATTTGATGAAGTTCAATAAATTCTATGGACTTTTAAGAAAGTATACCAGCAGTGTGACACGGTGCAGTAAGTCTGATGGGAAGGTTCACTGACTGCATGGAAGAAACACAGACAGAGTGAACTGAGGCAGAATGAGTCACACAGGGACCTGAAAACACGAACATTAAGGAAGAGCCTCCCACTGGGTCACAAGGTTCAGACTGGACCCTCACTTTCAAAACTCCTGCTGTAATGGGCATAAAGCCACAGCAGAGAGAGTCACTGTAGGATTTTCACGAATTCCAGGCCAAGAGTGATTAATAAACTTCTGTTAAAGGAATTATCCAAACAGTCATTCCATCCAAAAAGGAGGATAACCACTCCCTGAAAGGTCTTTCTAGCAAAAGCAGAGTATGGACCACCAGCACTTCCTCAGTGGTTAATAGTGGCAGCTAATTTACCAGGCTTTTTTATTTAATGAGGGAAGCATGAATTCAAGGCACACAAAACACAGTTGGACCCTCTGAACTATGTACCTACATAATATAAGATGCACCAAGTTTTGTTAAAGCTGACATTAAAGGAAGTGCAATACGAACAAGTGCTAGTTCAGAGAACTAACCCACAAGAAAAAGCTGTGACTAACAGCCTGTAGCTTTAACTTAGGAATACACTACAGACCAGCTCTATATAAACACCCATATCTCACTGCAAAGTACAAACCCAGTAGTTATTTTCATCCCAAAGCACAAGGCTGTCCTTTTCCTGCTCTACCTGTAAGTGAAACTTTTTTTACATGCTTTTGATGCTATACCACCATCTACAAAATTTGAGACCAAAGAGGGCTTTACAACTTCCAACATAACTGAATATACTTACTTCTCCTTCTGATCCTGGTTAATTAATCCACAGATATCCTTGGTACTCTCTAAATTGGCTGAGCCAAGAAATAAATCACAGCATTAGAGCAACTTAGTCAATCAGTGCTGCAGTTCTAGAGAAACACTTGATTAGTACGAGCATCTGTAAGAAACACTGACCCAGAAAGCCAAGGAGGAAAATAAATTACTGCATCTTCATAACTTAGAGATATTTAACAGCATGACACTGTAAAACTGGTATTTCATTAACTCCTTCCTAAAGTTCAAGCAGGGCCCTTGGGCACCACAAGATAAGGAAGAAAACTGGAAGTACAGACAGGACACACAGCCATCCTCAGGCAGCACTGAGGGCTGTGACAGGACACTGCTGAGCTGAACGGATTTACTGTGCTGTGGAAATTGGGAAGCTGACACAACTCGTACCTTGGATACACAACAGCAGTTCCACACACTGCTGACAAGCCAAAACAAGGCAGGGATTTCTACAGCCACTGCAGCAAGCAAAGATCTCCTGGTGCCACCAGCTCTGCCAGCACTCTGTGGTGAAAGATGAGTCTCTGCAGGCGTAACAGGAACAGTTCTCAACAGCTACAAGATATGAAAGCACATTTGCATCTGTCTACATATTACTCAAGCCTTTTTGCCAGTTTTCTACCAGGACTGGGGGTGGGGGGGCAGGGTATTTTGTGAGGTTTGTGGTTTGGTTTGTTTTTCAATTTTCTTTTATAGAGCTAAAAAGGGCTTCAAACACTCTCCATTTGCTTTCTTTGCCTGTTTATATAACAATGCTCTAACTTATTACTTTGTTCTTCCCCGTCCTGAATGGAAATATTTGTTCATGACATGGTAAAATCTGTACACAATTGTATTGATACATTTTTCCAGCATCAATAATGAATTTTTTTACTTCACATTCCAATTTGAAAATTGAGTACAGAAAACGATGACATTTTACTTAGGGTATTATGGAAGGATGGAACCATGTCTACAGTTTTCATTCCAAGCCATTAAAGTTCAATCAAGCACAAACCTTTAATCAACATCCCCTCTGATTTTACTGTAAACTGCCTCTAAAAAGATTTTCATTATCCAGAAAGCCAACTGCACAGTCCACAAAGAACTGCCATCTTCAGGCACAGTTCTATTACTTTCTGTGCTGATTAAAACAGGCTGGCAAATCAGTGCCACTAAGTCAGACACATCCATGAGGTGCAGAAGGCAATAATACAGGGTTGAACACTGCAGTTTCCTCATTTATTTAAATACTGTGGGTTTTTACCTATCAAAGCTACACATTTAGGCCAAGATGTGACTATAATCCCCACAAAACAGCGATGGGACACCAACACCTCAGTCCCATTTGAAACCTAATACACAGTGAGGCAGGAAACCAAGTCTGCCTGATTTCAGAGCCTTGAGACCCAACTCCTGATCCCTCTCAAATGTTTCACATTGCAGTGTGGTCTTTGATCATAGCTATTTCCTTTTTCAAGAGCAAACAGACAGTCCTAACTGAGAGAACTTCACCAGACAAAACCCAGATTTGCAAGTTTACCAAGCTGTCCCTCTGAGCACTGTCAGCTGGCACCAATGCAGCAGCTCAGTCTTGGACAACCAGAAAATTTCCCAATCAAGCCTTGCTAATGTACAACAGACACATGAGAGGAAACAACAGGAATTTCTACCCTCTACTCCAGACTCAGATGGACCAGTCTTGCCCCAGGTGAGATGACACTAATGAACATTTTCACCAGCCCTCAGTCCCCACAGCATCTTCCCAAGGAGCTGAGGGAGGAAGAGGCTGGGGGAAATGGGGGCAGAGCAGCCCTGACTCACCTGGGGACAGCCTCTCCCTTTTCCTCCCCCAGGTACATCCTGCTCTGAGCACCAAGCAGTGTTTGGAGCTTGGCATCAGCCATGTCCTCCATGGAGACAATGGGCAATTACCTCTTGTCCAGCACTTTGCTGAGGCACACAGCAGGGATCTGTCTACTTGTGCAGAGCACCCCTGCCCTAACTGAACAGGAACATCAATCACTGTGTAAGCCAAACCACGCTGATCTTAATAGTTACAGCTGCAAAAAAAAGAGACCAATGGCAGAACTAAAAACGTGAATAAAATCCACAGCCTCAACTACAACCCTGTCCCTTCCATTTTAATTTTTGTGTACTCTGAGCAGGAATCAACTACATCAGCATGACCATTAAAATTATTATTATTTTGCCTAAAATATTTAAAGTTTTCTGAAACAAGGTGGCAGCATGCTGTTACTGTCAACAACTACTCTGGAGGAGCAAAGTGTTTAAACAAAAAGCAAGAAGGAACCAAGCACAGCATGAACTTGTCTTGCAGCACGAGGAATGAAGAGCAGCCAGGGCCTCAAGGCCAGGAGCAGGCAGAGCACTACACAGCACAGTCCAGCAGGGTCAACATTTTAAAATGCTTCATATGTCACACCCTGTCTCAACACGGTAAGACTATAATTTCCTGAGACAAAATATAGAAGTATGAAGGCTGAGTAAACCAACCACAGTTCACAAATGCATACAAGCAACCGAGTCTTGAATTTGCTTTATTTTTCTCTGCAGAAGGAACCCTGCACAGGCAATTCAAATTAAAACAAAATAAATATGTGAATATTCATGTAAAACTGTCCTGGCTAATGAACAATTATACACAATGTACACCTCTTCATGTTCACTGGGAGGGCTTACAAATGTACTATTCCCAACAAAAATGCACCAAAATGTCTCCATGCAAACTTATCAAAAGTGACCAAAAAAGGAGAAAAAACTTACCGATCATACTTTTTTGTTTTGTTTTTCCTTTTTTCTTTTTTACAATCACAAAAAAATAAAAACATCTAATTTTTTGTTACATTTAGAGTAACTAAAATGTGGCCACCGTCTATTAAGATCTGGTTTTATGCTCCTAAAACATCTATGGTTACTGTAAAATTATGTCAACGATGAATTGGACTTAGGGCACTATTTGTAGTAAAAGGAAGATGATTTTGTTCACAGAATATTAATAATCTGTGTCTGAGCCCTCTGCATTGTCCACATTCCGGGAGAGCATGTAATTGTCCATGTCTATAGACCTGCAATTATTGATTGCATAGCGCAAACGCTCTGCCATGATTAGTTGACTGGAGTAAGGTGGGAGCCTCAGTTGAAAGAAACAAGTCTGTGAGGTAGGCAAGCTGTCGTAAGGCTGTGGAAATGGATAAAAGGTGGGACAATGGTAAGTTGTGAATGAAGTTAAAAATGCAACATACCCACATTTCATTGCTCCTTGCCTCTATCACTTTCACATTCTAGCTCAAATTCCTTTTAAGAAGCAGACTGACCTCCCTTGTTTACAGCATTTGTTCCATCCTCACGTATGTCCAAAACCACTGCAGCACCTGTTCTGCAAATAATTCACCCCACCACTGAATTCAGCCTTTTGAAAAGCTGATCACACTGCTGTTTAGCAGCCCACTGCAAGATCCCAATCAACGTTCAAATTACAAATTACATACCATAGTGTGCCTTAGCATAAAGCAACCTGAGAGACACCTAACCAAAGGTGACAGACAAACCCCATTAGCTGAGATTTACTCAAGTTTTTGGTTCATATTGTTCACAGAGAATGTGCACAAAACCCCAAAGTTATTCCAAATGAATGCACTCTGTATATAAAACAATACACTGTAAACTCATTGCAGTGGTTTTAAAACATTAAGAGTTCACTAGTGGTCATATGTTGCCACTTACACGAAATTAAAACTTAGAAAATTACTAAATGAAAAGAGATTGGAACAGTTACACTAGACAAAGGTTTGTTTCTTGTCTTCATCTCCAATCACCAATTAAATTAAGATGCAATTCATGTAGCTATGTCCTTCTACACAACCAAAATGTCTGAGTTTATTAACTCAGAGCATATCCCATCCCGTACCTTTTCTGTAAATTTACAATTATGGAAAATATCTCCTAGTGCCAAAGCACTAGAGTATACCAGAGAGGAAATAATAGCAATAATAATAACAATAATAATAATAATAATAATAATAATAATAATAATAATAATAATAATAATAATAATAACAACAATAATAATAATAATAATAATAATAGCACCAGTGTCTTACCCTATCAACCTTCATTATTTGGAATCGCTGAGAGATGTCAGCTGTGTTGGCTGGCAATCGAGATCTTCCTGACACAAACCTCATGAAAAGGACTCTCTCCTCATTTGAAAATTCTTCCAGGGTGTGCCAGAACCACTGCACCAGCTGATGCTGCTCATCAACTTCTCTGTAGCGCACAACTTTCTTCAGAACCTCAACTGATATTTCTGGCATTCCACAGACCATCTGCTCCAACTGCTTGGCAGTCAGAAGGGACAGCAAAGGAACGGG